GCCCCTCTACCAGTCTCAACCCCTTGCCCTCTACCAGTCTCAACCCACTTGCCCCTCTACCAGTCCCAACCCACTTGCCCCTCTACCAGTCTCAACCCACTTGCCCCTCTACCAGTCCCAACCCACTTGCCCCTCTACCAGTCCCAACCCACTTGCCCCTCTACCAGTCTCAACCCACTTGCCCCTCTACCAGTCTCAACCCACTTGCCCCTCTACCAGTCCCAACCCACTTGCCCCTCTACCAGTCTCAACCCACTTGCCCCCTCTACCAGTCTCAACCCACTTGCCCCTCTACCAGTCCCAACCCACTTGCCCCTCTACCAGTCCCAACCCACTTGCCCCTCTTACCAGTCTCAACCCACTTGCCCCTCTACCAGTCCCAACCCACTTGCCCCTCTACCAGTCCCAACCCACTTGCCCCTACTACCAGTCCCCTCAACCCACTTGCCCCTCTACCAGTCCCAACCCACTTGCCCCTCTACCAGTCTTCAAACCCAACTTGCCCCTCTACCAGTCTCAACCCACTTGCCCTCTACCAGTCCCAACCCACTTGCCCCTCTACCAGTCCAACCCACTTGCCCCTCTACCAGTCTCAAACCCACTTGCCCCTCTACCAGTCTCAACCCACTTGCCCCTCTACCAGTCCCAACCCACTTGCCCCTCTACCAGTCCCAACCCACTTGCCCCTCTACCAGTCTCAACCCACTTGCCCCTCTACCAGTCCCAACCCACTTGCCCCTCTACCAGTCCCAACCCACTTGCCCCTCTACCAGTCCTCAACCCACTTGCCCCTCTACCAGTCTCAACCCACTTGCCCCTCTACCAGTCTCAACCCACTTGCCCCTCTACCAGTCTCAACCCACTTGCCCCTCTACCAGTCTCAACCCACTTGCCCCTCTACCAGTCTCAACCCACTTGCCCCTCTACAGTCCCAACCCACTTGCCCCTCTACCAGTCTCAACCCACTTGCCCCTCTACCAGTCCCAACCCACTTGCCCCTCTACCAGTCCCAACCCACTTGCCCCTCTACCAGTCTCAACCCACTTGCCCCTCTACCAGTCTCAACCCACTTGCCCCTCTACCAGTCTCAACCCACTTGCCCCTCTACCAGTCTCAACCCACTTGCCCCTCTACCAGTCCCAACCCACTTGCCCCTCTCCCACCCACTTGCCCACCAGTCCCACCCACTTGCCCCTCTACCAGTCTCAACCCACTTGCCCCTCTACCAGTCTCAACCCACTTGCCCCTCTACCAGTCCCAACCCACTTGCCCCTCTACCAGTCTCAACCCACTTGCCCCTCTACCAGTCTCAACCCACTTGCCCCTCTACCAGTCCCAACCCACTTGCCCCTCTACCAGTCTCAACCCACTTGCCCCTCTACCAGTCTCAACCCACTTGCCCCTCTACCAGTCTCAACCCACTTGCCCCTCTACCAGTCTCAACCCACTTGCCCCTCTACCAGTCTCAACCCACTTGCCCCTCTACCAGTCTCACCCACTTGCCCTCTACCAGTCCCAACCCACTTGCCCCTCTACCCAGTCCCCTCTAACCCACTTGCCCCTCTACCAGTCTCAACCCACTTGCCCCTCTACCAGTCCCAACCCACTTGCCCCTCTACCAGTCTCAACCCACTTGCCCCTCTACCAGTCTCAACCCACTTGCCCCTCTACCAGTCCCAACCCACTTGCCCCTCTACCAGTCTCAACCACTTGCCCCTCTACCAGTCTCAACCCACTTGCCCCTCTACCAGTCCCAACCCACTTGCCCCTCTACCAGTCTCAACCCACTTGCCCCTCTACCAGTCCCAACCCACTTGCCCCTCTACCAGTCCCAACCCACTTGCCCCTCTACCAGTCCCAACCCACTTGCCCCTCTACCAGTCTCAAACCCACTTGCCCCTCTACCAGTCTCAACCCACTTGCCCCTCTACCAGTCTCAACCCACTTGCCCCTCTACCAGTCTCAACCCACTTGCCCCTCTACCAGTCTGCCCCTCTACCAGTCCCAACCCACTTGCCCCTCTACCAGTCCCAACCCACTTGCCCCTCTACCAGTCCTCAACCCACTTGCCCCTCTACCAGTCTCAACCCACTTGCCCCTCTACCAGCCCCTCCAGTCAACCCACTTGCCCCTCTACCAGTCCTCAACCACTTGCCCCCCTCTACCAGTCCCAACCCACTTGCCCCTCTACCAGTTGCCCACTTGCCCCTCTACCAGTCCCAACCCACTTGCCCCTCTACCAGTCCCAACCCACTTGCCCCTCTACCAGTCCCAACCCACTTGCCCCTCTACCAGTCCCAACCCACTTGCCCCTCTACCAGTCTCAACCCACTTGCCCTCTACCAGTCTCAACCCACTTGCCCCTCTACCAGTCTAACACTTGCCCCTCTACCAGTCCCCACTTGCCCCTCTACAGATCTCAAACTTGCCCCTACCAGTCCCAACCCACTTGCCCCTCTACCAGTCTCAACCCACTTGCCCCCTTACCAGTCCAACCCACTTGCCCCTCTACCAGTCTCAACCCACTTGCCCCTCTACCAGTCTCAACCCACTTGCCCCTCTACCAGTCTCCCAGTGGGTTCTTGATCATCCTCCTCCTCCCCTTGCCCATCCTCCCAGATATCAACCCACTTCCAGACAAGCTACCAGTCCCAACCACTGCCCTGCCTTCAGCAGTGGCCTCTGGATCCAGAATCCAGTGCCCCTCTTGATCAACCCACTTGCCCTCTACGAGACAGTTTTATCCAGCTTATCAACTCTTGCCCCCCTACAGTCTCATTCACTTGCCTATTGTTACCAGTGTCATTGTTATTATTACTGCTTTTTAATCAGTGGTAGAGTGCCTAGGCTGCCCTTCACATGCAGAAATGACAGATGCAGGGATTCAAGAGCAGAGACACAGATGACAGCACCCAACCCAACAAACTGCAGGGACACAAGAGCAGAGACACAGATGACAGCACCCAACCCAACAAACTGCATTGACACAAGAGCAGAGAAACAGATGACAGCACCCAACCCAACAAACTGCAGGGACACAAGAGCAGAGACACAGATGACAGCACCCAACCCAACAAACTGCAGGGACACAAGAGCAGAGACACAGATGACAGCACCCAACCCAACAAACTACAGGGACACAAGAGCAGAGACACAGATGACAGCACCCAACCCAACAAACTAGCTCTACCTAGCAGCATAAATATTGCTACTAAACAGTTTCCAGAATTCATGAAAAACTTCAGGGAGGAAAAGTTGATGAGAAAGGGCACTGGACATCTGTACTCAGAAGCTGTGGCCTAGAACCTCACTGGTAGTATCTGCCTTCAGTGTCCCAGAGACAGCTGACAGTTGTCACCCAGCACATGGAGAACTCAGAACGAGACTGTGACCTATATCAGCTCCAGTTGTTGATATCTATATGGGTCCACAACTTGGCACTGACTGCTGGTGTTCAAACATTTCAACAGGGTGACATCCACATGTCAAATGACTGACTGATGTGACACACATAATACTCACAATTTGTCTGTTGTCTCGTCCACACACACATATGCAAACATGCATGCACAAACACACACACACAATGTGACAGACACACACACACACACACACACACAAACATGCATGCACATACACACACACAAAATGTGACATGGACACACACACACACAATGTGACATGGACATACACACACACACACACAATGTGACACGGACACACACAAACACACACAAACAATGTGACAGACACACACACACATATGCAAACATGCATGCACAAACACACACACACAATGTGACGGACACAGGGCACACACACACACTCACACACACAAACATAATGCAGATACACACAGAGCTTTGTGACATGGACACACACCATGACAGCATGGGACACATGGACATGTGAACACACACACAATGTGACACGGACAGGAACAGTACCACACACAAAATGTGACATGGTATACACACACACACAATGTGACAGGACACACACACACACAATGTGACACGGACACACACACACACAATGTGACAGGACACACACACACACACAAAATGTGACATGGACATACACACACACACAATGTGACATGGACATACACACACACACAATGTGACACGGACACACACACACAAAAATGTGACATGGACACACACACACACAATGTGACAGTGTGTTTGACACAATGTGACACGGACACACACAGACACAATGTGACACGGACACACACACACACAATGTGACACGGACACACACACAAAATGTGACATGGACATACACACACACACACAATGTGATCCGGACACACACACACACACACACAAAATGTGACATGGACATACACACACACACAATGTGATCCGGACACACACACACACAATGTGACAGACAACACAGACAAGTGTGACACGGAACCACACACACACACACAAAATGTGACTTGTTATACACACACACACATGTGACACGGACACACACACACACATGTGACATGGAAGTACACACACACACACAATGTGCACGGACACAGTAGTTGACACACAATGTGTTTGTTACACACACACACAATCACATGACACACAATGGCACACACACACACACACAAGTGTTCACACACAAGACACAATGTGACACGGAACACAGTAGTTGACAATGTGTTTGTTAAGTACACACACACAATGACAGCACACACACACACACACAATGTGACACGGACACACACACACAAGTGTGCACGGACACCACACACACACACAATGTGTTTGTTAAGTACACACACACATGACACATGGGCACACACACACTGTGACACACACACAGACAAGACAAGTGTGCAGGAACCAGTAGTTGACACAATGTGACACGGACACATCACACACACAGCATGGACACACATGGACACACACACAATGTGACACGGACACACACACACACACAATGTGACACGGACACACACACAATACTCACTGTTGATCGTCAAGTCCCCAGGCTCCATGTTTGTTGAGAAGGATGTTGAGGATCTTCTCTTTCTGCTTGACGGCCAGGGCATGGTCACGTCTCTTGGCTGACTTAATGAGATGGTCACAGAGCTTTTCCTCTTCTCGGCGCTCCATGACAGCATGGGCACACATGGACTGTGAAGTGTTCAGACAAGACAAGTTGCAGGAACCAGTAGTTGATTGTGTGTTTGTTAAGTACATCACATGACAGCATGGGCACACATGGACTGTGAAGTGTTCAGACAAGACAAGTTGCAGGAACCAGCAGCTGATGGTGTGTTTGTTAAGTACATCACATGACAGCATGGGCACACATGGACTGTGAAGTGTTCAGACAAGACAAGTTGCAGGAACCAGTAGCTGACAGTGTGTTTGTTAAGTACATCACATGACAGCATGGGCACACATGGACTGTGAAGTGTTCAGACAAGACAAGTTGCAGGAACCAGTAGTTGATGGTGTGTTTGTTAAGTACATCACATGACAGCATGGGCACACATGGACTGTGAAGTGTTCAGACAAGACAAGTTGCAGGAACCAGTAGTTGATTGTGTGTTTGTTAAGTACATCACATGACAGCATGGGGACACATGGACTGTGAAGTGTTCAGACAAGACAAGTTGCAGGAACCAGTAGCTGACAGTGTGTTTGTTAAGTACATCACATGACAGCATGGGGACACATGGACTGTGAAGTGTTCAGACAAGACAAGTTGCAGGAACCAGTAGTTGATGGTGTGTTTGTTAAGTAAGTACATCACATGACAGCATGGGCACACATGGACTGTGAAGTGTTCAGACAAGACAAGTTGCAGGAACCAGTAGCTGATGGTGTATTTGTTCCATCACATCACCACATGACTTCAACTATATGAAGGCCTACTGGCAGATGGAAGACCGGAAGAAAAAACAGAACAGGAGTTGAAGGAATGATTGATAAGCATCTCACTCATATAACACATGAGCGAGTAGCCAAATGTACTGCTGCCGACACAAGATAAACAACATCCTTTTGTGTTTTTGTTTCATTTGATAAAAGCCTTCAGCAGGATCACAATCACTGACTGTGTGGCTCTACAGCAGTGTTCTTCAACCCGCAGGAAAAGTCCAGTTGGGCTGCCCAAGTTTCTGCTTAATCATGTACCGGGGTAGAGTAAGTCTGTAGGATCAACAGCTTTGATGACAATCAAACACATACAAACTCCAGAAACTCATTTCAACTGAGTAAAACAGAAAACCCTGATAATCATTTCCATGAAAAAAGAAGGTCAACATAAAGTCAACCTTTGGAAGATGTCAGATCATGCTCACTTGATCATCATTAAAAGAGAAGCTGATCACTGACTTCTGATGTCTCATGTGTGGCAATTGTTGTCCGGGTTTTAGATATCACTCCAAAAGGAATATCCATCTCTGAGGTAAAGGGCTGTCAGATTGTGTTTTTGTGTGTGTGGGTGCAAACAGACTTTCTCAGCCATGTCAGAAATGAAACCAAACATAAAAATGGAATGGACGTTTTAGAAATGCTCTGTGTGTATCAGAAACAATGCTCCTGTCATGTGTATGATTTGATTTGATTTGATTCAAGAACCGACATCACAGCATTTGGGGCATTCACATAAGCACTCCATCCCCATCTTCAGCAGCCAGCGAAGAGTTCCGATACTAATGGTGCCAGTAGCTTTCTGATTAAACGTCCGTCTTGCCTTTCCTCTGAGCCTCGAGCATCTGCCAGAACCTCTAGTCACCCCCAACTGCATCAATCTCACCAGACAGGTGATCCATTTGCTCCTCCGCATTGTACACGCTCTCCCACAAGGCACTAACCACGTCTGCCCTATCATGTAGCAGTATTCCACCAAGCTGTGCAGAGCCAGCCAGTCTGTCCGCCTGTTCATTTCCCGACACACCGGCGTAAAAACCAAACAATACTCCTCACTCGCGTCCTCCGCAGCGAAGCATGCCACTCTGCACGAAGCATACCTGTTCTTCCTCAGCATGCTTTCTGAATCAGTTACAATCACAATGTGTGTGTGTGTCGTGTTCTCTAGCCAGCGGAAAGCTGCAGTGACCGCCTCCACCTCCATTCTTAAGCTGGATGTTGTGGTATCATATGCTAGGCTCTCCTGCACCAAACGTTGACCATTAACTTTTGCTAAGAAGTCCCAACACTTCCTTTGCCTCTTGACACTGAACGGTCTGTGTAAATGATCAAATCCTCTGAGCGAGCATTATCTTGAATTAATTGCTGAATTTCCACCTCTGTGGCACCTGCTGGCCAGTCTTTGCATTCCTGGGTCAGCGTGATTATGACTCTACACAAGTCTGACTGCTCAGGTGGCATTTTGACCCACTCCTCTCCTCGCCTAATGTTCTCAAGGATGCAAACCTGTCTGATTGTGTCTTCTGCCTGAGCCATCCATGACCTTCCTCTTATCAGCCGCTGACCCTTAACTGCACCCAGAGCTTCATGTAGAGGGTGGTCTGTGTCTGCAGCTACCCTGAGATGTGACTTCGCCTGCAGCACCGTGTGCCTACCTGCAACCGTCGGCAAACCAAGGATGTATTGCATACACACCACTGGGGTGTCTCTGGTGCAACCCAGAATGACCCGCACAGCCGCGTTCTGTATGCGCTCTAGTTTGTCCATCTGACTCTTTGAGATGGTAAGCAGTTCCAGGCCATAGTCAACCACTGACAGGATCAGGTGCTGATATAGTGTGAAAAGCATTCTCTGCTCTATGTCAATTGCAGCCATAGCCTTAAGTGCACTAAGTCCTTTTTGGCATCTCGTCACAACACTCTCCATATGGTCCTTAAATGACAGGCTCCTGTCAAATGTAATTCCCAAATACTTCAGTTTGCTCTCTTTGTTGACGTCTCTACCATCTATCGTGAGGCTT